CCATGTAATTTTAAATAAAAAATTGACGATTTGCACTGCAGAATGCAATTGCTTATTAGTCGGGCGAGGAAATAGCTTCTACAATCTGTTACGTGTTGCAGTATATTATTAGCTCTTTCTCTATCTTAACTGCTCCTTCATATGAACTGGGACCATTTGAATACTAGGTATGATTTTATACACATCACTAGCTGGAGAACCGGTGTTTAAGCTTAATATCATGTCTTGAAGCTAGATTGTACACTGGTATTGACAGAACCTTGAAATCTGTTGATTACCACTGTTCGTGGAAAATCATTTCATTTTATTGGCTGGAGGGATTGTCCATACTGTAGATATATGATGGCAGAGTACACATCTCCTAGCAAATCTTTTTATAGGGAAAATTATAGAGGACTCCCGTACATCACAGCAAATCATCTTTTATTGCTGATTTGTTAATTTTCAGCTGTCTATATTCAGAAGATCAGAATATTCACATATTTTATAATTTTCTTACTTGTACAGTCCCGTTGCCGAGGAGCAATCTGCTGGTGGGGACAGGATTTTGCAGCTGGAAGGAGATCTAAGAGATATGAAGGAGCGGTTACTCAATATGAGCTTAGAGTACGCAGAAGTAGAGGCCCAGCGGGAGCGATTAGTGATGGAGCTGAAATCTGTCAAGAAAGGGGGGCGATGGTTCTAACATGATGGAGACCTTGCCTGCCATAAACATAAGACTGACAACACAGGTATATGGATGCTATTTTCTTGCCAATAAATGATATGATAGTTTGGATGGGTAGAGCAACATCTCTCAGTAAACTGTTTTAGGTTTGTTATCAGTGGGATCCCATCATGTACTTTTTGGGTAGAAGATACTTTTTGTCCAGTTCTTATGGATACTCTAAAGCCTTCTGCTTTTGTAGATGACCCGTCATCAATCAGCGTCATGTCTGCGCCATGACAATACAAGCCATGACAATAGGGCTGCTGATGTCAGATTATCATGATGTGAGAACAAGCAAATGCAGAACCACAGGTCATGTGCCGCACTCACTAGTTGGTACCGGTGGATTGCGAGTCTCTGACTATTTCCCGGAAGAAAAGAAAAGGTCACCTCCAAGAGATGGTTTCCCTGAAGAGGCAAATATTGTGAGTCTGACCATTTCCTGGAAGAAAAAGCCACCTCACCTGTAAGCCTCACTATGATAATTCCGATTTAACCAATCGATTATGTGATGCCATGTGTTTCTTCATCCAGTATACCTGTTTCTCAGTTGACCGGGAGGGTGAACGTTATTTGTTCATATGGTTACTCAGATCACCCACCATTTACATGGGTATTTACATGATTACATGCAAAGTCAACTATAACTGTTGATAAATGTTGTTCTTCGTCTTGTTTGTGGAACCAACATGGAAGAGTTTAAGCTAGTAGTACAATAGCTATACTCTTACATTATTGTAATTCAATGTGTAAAATATGAAGGGTTCAACTGCTTAATTATTTTTATTTTCATCGCAAATTAGAAAATTACTTATTGCTTTTGTGGGATATCATCGAGTCTGGTATGAATATATTTTATCATGACATGATCTGGAGGATTACTACTGCTATTTACTTAATTAAAGAGTTGAAGGATCCAAGACAAGCATCAGGTGTCATCTTCATGATTGAGCTGGTGTATTCATTAGCTCAAGCTAGTAGCATGACCACCGAAGCGGAACTTCACCAGCGCAGCCAGTAAGGTGTAGTCGAGATGAGAGAGTTTGAGTGGAAGAAGATAAAGATATGGCAGTGATTGTTTGGGATGAGGTTGGATGGAGACCATCAAGTGAAGGTTGCGCTGAACAAAGTTTTAGAAATCGAGGCCCCGCCTTGCCTAGGCAAAGCTGGAAGATGATGAAAAGCTTGGCATGGAATAGGAGGTCGTCTGGGGGTGGTGGGTGTTGTGCTGTCGGAGAGGGTGCTGGAAGAGGGCGAGGAAGAAGAGCCGTGGGCTTCCATGGCGGCGCTGGAGGGTGCCGCCACGGAGGCTAGAGCTAGCTAGGCTTTCCACCCGGCAGTCTTCTAAGTGTTGGCATAGACATTAAAAGAAATCATAAGCATCAACTCCAAACATAAACGAATGCACATTAGTGTATTATTAGCATGGACCATAGTTGATTGTCACCAGTAGTACTTGTTACATTGACCAACACTGCAGTGATAAATAGAAGAATGGTACCACAATCACCATGATCCCCGTGTCCTTTGCTTCTACCAGTCTCAGGCCGCTTTTGCCCTTTCTACGAGGTCCATGAGAACAGAGGGGCAGCTCCTCTGTAAATGTTTGAAACCGCCATTTTCCAAGACGACTTTCATATTGTTCGGGGAGATGAGGAAGTCGATGCATGCCGCCTTGAGCCTCTGGGAGTGGTGCTGCTCCGCTAACACCAGCGTGGTTATCACTGTGCTCGTGGAGACATGTTTGCACATCATGTCTTCGCAGATCATCTTCAGCCTCTCCATCTTGTACCTATCCGCTGCTTCAAGCAATCCATGCGCCATTGCTGTCGCTGCATCATCACCCTTGTCCATCTCATCAGGCAATGCATTGGTGTATATGTAGTGGAGCAAAGCCTTGAACACTTTTGCCTCCATGTCGTCGATCCTTATGGTGGCCATGGGCGTCTTCTTCTTCTCCCTTTCCGACATGCCAAGGAGCTCTGCTTCTGCTGCTGCCTTCAAGATTGGAGACCGGGCAGCCAGCACCCATTGATGGGCGACGATTGTCTCGCCGCCCACATGGAAGGCCACATCTGCCCCCTCCTTCCACAGGAGATCGGTGAAATCACTATCCTCTGTTTCCTCGGCGTGCAACTCTGTGACAGTGATGTCGCACCTGAGAGTGAAGCAGTCGTCCTTGAGGCAACCTGAGTTCTCCAATTCTGACCTTGTGAGGAATATGTTCAAGCCCCACTGCCCTTCAGGGGCCGTGAAAATTCTGTCGAAGGTGAAGGTATATGATGGCACAGGCTTCCCAGCCCGGTCCAGTAAACCGAGCACACATTGAGCTGAGATGCCCTTGTCAGGCTTGAAGGGCAAGTCCATGCTAACACTGGCAAGCTGAATGAAGACAGATATGCAATTGGAATTATCTGAGCTTCGGCCGTTGGGGTAATACTTGATGCGCCAGGCGTGGCCTCCGACATGGAAGATGCAAGACTCGATGTGCCTACCATTGGTGACCACCTTGGTTTGCGAGTACCCGTCGATCTTGAGCAGGTGGTGCCCGCTCACCACCCTGGCGACAATGGCAGAGGTAGAGCGGGACGACATCTTGTATATACTAAACCCCGTGCGCCCACACGGTTTGATGGCTAGTGATAGTGGGTTATTAACTTATTGGGAATACAATGGGTATGCAAACTGCGGCTGCGGCAGCGATGATCCATGGTGGGAATATATACAAGCAAAGTTAGTTAATGAGTGAAAACATTTTATGGATCCGCAGGTGGAAGGAAGGTAATATGTTCTGATAAGACTTGCAAGTTTCTGCGACGGATCCTTTGCTTTGCTTCGAGTAAGCACATCTGGTGTAAACTTGCTGGCTGCTAATCCCAGAGAAGATGCCAGGTTACGTGTCGTGGGTGGCTTGTGCCAAATTTTTTTGGGCTTTAGGGTGCGTTTGGTTAGAGCTCAAGTTTGTCCTGCTAAAGAATTAGCTAGTTAAAATTGTTGAGCTTCAGTCAAGGTTTTACTTGTCCATGATTTGGCCAATGTTGGCAAGAAAATAAACTATAATAGCCAGGGATCCAAGTTTTGCTCACGACACGAAAAAATTGGTAGGGCGGCCTTTGGCCATAATCCAGACATAATTGGCAAGTTAAGAATATCATACCACAAACTAACGCTAGCTGCTTCCAGCCTTAATTAGCAAGCTGGCAGTATCATATATAGTTTTTGGCTTTAGCTTGTTCAATTGGCAAGCTAAGAATATCAAAGAACAATATCAAAGTTTATGGGCTTTATCTTGTTCCTTTGATGCTAGCTGCTTCCAGTCTTAATTGGCAAGCTAAGAATGTCTAAGTTTCTGGGTTTTAGCTTGTACCTTTGATGCTAGCTGCTTCCAGTGATCTTAATTGGCAAGCTAAGAATACCTTTGATGCTAGCTGCTTCCAGTCTTAATTGGCAAGCTAAGAATACCATTGCACAAACTAATGCAATTACTACCTTTGTTTCACAATGTAGGGCCATTTAGACAGAGAACGGATTTTGTGCATCAATCGTTTTTTGAAATAAAATAGAAAAGCATGTGTGTTGATATTTTGGGAAGTTCTGAATTATTTTTAGATACATTGTCCAATACTCCCTCCAAAATAGATGACTCAACTTTGTACTAACTTTAGTATAAAGTCGGGTCATCTATTTTGGAACGGAGGGAGTACATGTGAATTATTTTTACATACATTGTCCAATGAAGTGCCTCCTACAATGCATCGCCTCATTTGCCACAAACATGCCATTTTGAAAAGAACATGGGAGATGATGGTCTAAAATAGAAACCATAAGTGTGCACAGCCCACAATGGACATATTTTTTGATCAAATTTTATACCTTCATATTTCATTCCCACAATGTATCTCAATTTTCAAACCTCCTTGTTTTTTTTTCACCTAGGTGCACAATACATTTTCTCCATTTAGACATGGCCAAGGTACAGCACTGAAGGTACTCAAACAAAAAACACAAAGTGAAACCGGTTCCAGCAAAACCAAACAAAAATTGTAGCAAACAGTAAAAGTACAAGTCTTATTGCATAGGCAACACACAAGTGTATATAACAATCCCACACGGTACATGCATATCACAGTCCATAACAGAACGAGGAACACAATCATAGGTAGGAACACACAAGCATGCAACACACACTGAGATCAATAGAGCACACACATTGCAAACACTCACACAACACAATCGTCACTCACTCCAGAGCATGCAGGCTCGTACTGATCAGTTCCAGCAATGGCTAACTTCAGGCGTTGTGCTTGAAGACGGGATGGCTTGGGTGTGCTGCGACGGCCTGCTTCACCGGGTCTGGGTTGCAGCTGCCACTGAGCTCGAGCTCTTTCAGCCTTGGGAGATGGCCGATTCCGGAGATGAACTGCATGCTCTTGAAACCCCAAGCTATCTTCTCCAGCCCAGGTGCCGCTCCACTCTCGAAGATGATGTTGGTGATGTCAGAGCCTTCGATGATCAGACACTTGAGGCTTGGGAATCCTCCTTCCCCAAAAGTGATCTTCATTTCAGCGTAGGACATATGTCGGAGTCTAAGGCAGCGCAGGCCACCGAGTTCGCCGAGGAGCCGTATGTCATGATCCATCAGGGAGGTGTCACGCAGGGTTATCTTGCCAAGTTGATGGAGCTCTGTGATCCATGGAGGCAGCCCAACGCCTGTGAGGCCACTGATGTACAGGCTCTGGAGAAACTCGGGAGGTGAAAATGGATTCTCTTGATCCATGCTGAATGTAAGAGGATCGGTCACATCGCCAGGATGTCCGATTCGGATCGACAAAGAGCGAAGGCATCCGTTCAGCTTGCTGATTGCTTGGAGCAGATGCTTGAAGGAGTTGCCGACCTTCTTGCCATGGAGAACAACTCCTAGCTTCTGTACCTTGACTAGCTGCCCAACATCCATGAGCATCGACTCACTGCCACTCCCGGAGACCTGTACATGTGACAGTATCTCCAGGTTCCTCCTCATGGCCCCGATTCCTTGTGGCATGCGCGGCGTGGAAAATGATTCCTTGGAGTTGATGGTGTCCTTGACCGGGGAGGAGAAGTCTGTGCGCCCTGCGAGCAGATGCTTGAGCATCAGGAGCTTGGCGAAATCTGCGGGGAAGGCTTGTATCTTGGTTTGCCGAATGTCCAGCGTCTCCAGCTGCTGCAGCCTATGGATTTGCTTGGGCAGCGCAGAAACATCAGTGTTCCTGAGGCTCAAATACTTGAGCATGAACAGCTTGCAGATGTTGTTCAGATGGCGCCTCTCCAAGCCTTTGCAGCCTTCTAGATCGAGCACCTTCAGCAGCAGCAGTTGAGATGACACGGGCAGTGATCCCAGGCACCTCTTGATGTCACCAAGATGTGCATTGCAGATCGTGGAGCCGACACGGACGACATTCTCTTCTTCTGCAACCTCAGTGATGAGGCGATGCACCGCAGGAGGCACCACACAAGTCTTGATCTTGCCCGCATCACCAATGTCAGCAGGGCAAATGAGGCCTCGGCTGACAAATGCACTGAAGCAGCGCTCGGCTGCCGCTTCTGCTGAACCATGACCGCCTTCCGCAGATATCAGGCCTTGGGCTGCCCATCTTCTCACTAGGGATGTCCTCCTGATGCTGTGATCTTGTGGGAGGAGAAGACATAGGTGCAGGAAGCACAACTGGCACTCTCTAGGCATGTCACTGTAGGAAAACATAACCATCTGCTTGAAGTTATAGCTGCTATCGTTGTGGTCGGCCTCTGAACACAGGCTTTCCTGCAGCTTCTCCAGCTCTTGTTTTGTCCTGTTAGGGTTGCCATACAAGGCATGGAGGAACATCTTCATGGAAGCGACATCCGGGTCGCATCTCTTGAGTATGCCGCGTATGGTGCCCCGCACATCGCCATCCTGAAAATTGCTGGCTACAAGGGCCACTGCTCTCTTGGAGAAGAAATCCACAAGGGAATATGTTACCACTTTATCCGGAGAAGATGACTTGACAAGCCCATCATCCTTTGTGGTCACCATGATGGCGCTGCCAACAGGGAGGCTTATGAAGTTGAGAGCAATCCTGATCTGGTCCCACATGCCCGGGTAATCGTCGAGGTCGTCGAGAACAATCAGGACCCTTCTGCCTTCCAAGCGGCCTCGGATGCTCCACAGCAGCTTCATGTTGTCTGATGATGTGTCGTCCAGCACGTCCTGGTTTTGGTCAGGAAGGAGCTTGCAGAGCAGGTCATGGAATATCTGCCAGAGGATTGGAGGCCTCTGGATGGTGATCCATACGTTGATGTCGAAGCCGCCGGACACCGAAGGATCTTGGTACACTTGCTGAGCTAGGCCGGTACCTTCTGCATCATCTGGTGCTAGAATGACAGTGAGTCTCAACGGCCGCCCTCCGGCCTCGTCACCGTCTCCTTTCTTGCCTAGCCAGGTGATCAGCTCTGCTGCACCTTCCTCCAAGATGTTTGGCTCGGCATCGATCAGAGCTCGTCTGAAAGCACCTCTCTCGTCGTCGTCGTCTTCGTGGTCTTTTGATTCTTGGACATTGCGGAGTGGCGGCCATCTGCTGACCATCGCCATGGTAGTAGAAGTTTGCGTGATGGCAGGCGGTGGCGGCGGCACGGCGATGCCGTACCTCAGCCGTCTCTCGCCTGCCTCCTGCACCCGGACCTTGAGCTCCCGGATATGCTTGGCGATGGTGCTGCGGCTGCGAGGGATGGTGGCGCACCCTCCAAGGAACCATGGCATTCGCACGTAGCGCAGGAGCCCCTTTGCACGGCGGGGCCCTGTGTGCCGGTAGAGGTTGATGCAGTCCCGGGAGTCGCCGGCGAGGTCCCTGACCTGTCTAGCCCATGCCTGAACCTCGTCGTTGTCTTCGTCATCAGGGTGCCCAGCGCTAGGAGCCAGCTGCTGGGTCCTGGCAAGGTGGCGGAGGAAGCCGTTCATGACCTCCATCTCGTCCTTGATGAAGTTCGCGTCGCGTTGGACGCCGGCAGCCAGTGGTGGCTGCGTGTCGGTGCAGACGGCCGGCGAGATGTCACCTAAGGATGAGCCGCCGGCTCGCCGGGAAGCTTCAGCCATCTCTCTCTCTACTGTATATCTGAGTCGAGATGTTTCTTTCTCGGTTGTGGCAGGAAACGTAATGGTGATGGACGGAAACAACAGATGAGCAGGAGAGCGTACCTGATGTGTGTTTCTCTTCTTGTTTAATTTCCTTGTTCGTTTCGTGTTGTAGAGGGGTGCATATAGTACTGTGTCTCTAGTTTAGGGTGCATGCAGGGAAAGAGCATGTACCGTGATTGTGCAAAGGGGCCTAGCTACTTCTTTTGGTTAATTTTTTCTCTTTAATTTCCTTGTTCGTTTCGTGTACAAGTGTGCATATGTCTCTAGTTACGGTTTTAGGAAAGAAGCTTTCTTTGAGTAGGCGACCCGAACCCCGCCGCCGCCACCTTCCCCTGCCCATCTCCAGCGTGATCTGGCCGCCCTCGCCGGCGCGCGGCCCGGATCCGTCCCCCTCCCCCCTCCCCTCCTTCCCCGCCCTCACGCCGCCTCCTGGGAGGCGGCCGGGGCGGCCCCCGTGCTTAGGCTCTCGGCTTCGTCCCCTCTTCCTCTCCCCTGCCGTCGCCGGCGGGCGCCCCCGGCTCCGGCCTGGGGGGTGCCGGCGGCGGCATGATCTCCTCTCCCCCCGCGTGCGCCCTCCTGGCACGGGGCAGGGGAGCGGCGGCGGTGTTGCTTGGCTTGGCGGCGGTCCGGTGACCCGGCGGGGTGGCCGGCGGCGGACGTGGTGACGACGCTGCTCCTTGGCGGCGGGGCGACGTGGTGGTGCTGGGTAGCCGACGTCGCGCCCCCGACCCAGATCTGGGCCCGGTGGGCCCTAGCTGGGTCCTAGCGTGCTGGCCCCCCGACGTGGCCTAGGTGTCTGCGACGCAGTGAGGAGGAGGAGCGGCTCGGATTTGGGGCGTCGGCATCGATGGCGTGCCGGCAGCAGCGCGAAGGCGGGAGCTTTACGGGCCCATGAGGGCTCGGCCGGGCCTGTGGGCCCACGGGCCGGGTGTGCTCCTGCTATTGCGTCCGAACGGCTACCGTCGCTGACGGTGGAGGTGGGCCCTGTTGGGGAACGTAGTAATTTCTAAAATTTTCCTACGTACACGCAAGATCATGGTGATGGCATAGCAACGAGAGGGGAGAGTGTTGTCCACGTACCCTCGTAGACCGTAAGCGGAAGCGTTATGACAACGCGGTTGATGTAGTCGTACGTCTTCACGATCTGACCGATCCAAGTACGAACGTACGGCACCTCCGAGTTCAGCACACGTTTAGCTCGATGACGATTCCCGGGCTCTGATCCAGCAAAGCTTCGGGGATGAGTTCCGTCAGCACGACGGCGTGGTGACGATGATGATGCTCTACCGGCGCAGGGCTTCGCCTAAACTCCGTGACGATATGACCGAGGTGGAATATGGTGGAGGGGGGCACCGCACACGGCTAAGGAATGATTCGTAGATCAACTTGTGTTCTATGGGGTGCCCCCCTGCCCCCGTATATAAAGGAGCAAGGGGAGGAGGCGGCCGGCCAGGGAGAGGCGCGCCAAGGGGAGTCCTACTCCCACCGGGAGTAGGACTCCCTCCTTCCTTGTTGGAGTAGGAGAAGGGGGAAAGAGGGGGAGAGGAGGAAGGAAAGAGGGGCTGCACCCCTTGTCCAATTCGGACCAGAGGGGGGCTGCGCGCCTCCTTCCTTTCGGCCTCTCTCCTCAATTCCCGTATGGCCCAATAAGGCCCATATACTCCCCGGCGAATTCCCGTAACTCTCCGGTACTCCGAAAAATACCCGAATCATTTGGAACCTTTCCGAACTCCGAATATAGTCGTCCAATGTATCGATCTTTACGTCTCGACCATTTCAAGACTCCTTGTCGTGTCCCCGATCTCATCTGGGACTCCGAACTCCTTCGGTACATCAAAACTCATAAACTCATAATATAACTATCATCGAAACCTTAAGCGTGCGGACCCTACGGGTTCGAGAACTATGTAGACATGACCTAGAACCATTCTTGGTCAATAACCAATAGCGGAACCTGGATGCCCATATTGGCTCCTACATATTCTACGAAGATCTTTATCGGTCAAACCGCATAACAACATACTTTGTTCCCTTTGTCATCGGTATGTTACTTGCCCGAGATTCGATCGTCGGTATCCAATACCTAGTTCAATCTCGTTACCGGCAAGTCTCTTTACTCGTTACGTAATGCATCATTCCGTAACTAACTCATTAGCTACATTGCTTGCAAGGCTTATAGTGATGTGCATTACCGAGAGGGCCCAGAGATACCTCTCCGACAATCGGAGTGACAAAACCTAATTTCAAAATACGCCAACCCAACATGTACCTTCGGAGACACCTGTAGTACTCCTTTATAATCACCCAGTTACGTTGTGACGTTTGGTAGCACCCAAAGTGTTCCTCCGGTAAACGGGAGTTGCATAATCTCATAGTTACAGGAACATGTATAAGTCAGGAAGAAAACAATAGCAACATACTAAACGATCAAGTGCTAGGCTAACGGAATGGGTCATGTCAATCACATCATTCTCCTAATGATGCGATCCCATTAATCAAATGACAACACATGTCTATGGTTAGGAAACATAACCATCTTTGATTAATGAGCTAGTCAAGTAGAGGCATACTAGTGACTATATGTTTGTCTATGTATTCACACATGTATCATGTTTCCGGTTAATACAATTCTAGTATGAATAATAAGCATTTATCATGAAATAAGGAAATAAATAATAACTTTATTATTGCCTCTAGGGCATATTTCCTTCAGCCCCCCCCCCCCGCGTGCCGACGTTGTTGATGCCCTAGGGTGTGCTCCTGCTATTGCGTCCGGACGGCTACCGTCGCTGACGGTGGAGGTGGCCCCCCCCGCATGCCGACGGTGTTGATGCCCTAGTCCCGACTCTGATCCTTCGCCGCGCTGTCCTCACTTCACGGTGCCGTGGTGAGACAGCATGGAGGCCTCATGACCGCGTTAGCGCAGGGTGGTGGTTGGTTTGGTGGCTGGATCCGGAGCGCCCGAGGTGCGGGTTGGGATTAGGGGAAACCCCTGTCGGCGTCGCCGACACCGGCGCGGTGGCGCCTGTGGGTGCCACCTGACCTTCCGGGAGGGCGTTGGGGGCTACCCATCCTCTCGCCTCATCGTGTACCTGGGGAAACCCTTGGCAACAGCGTCGTCATCGTCGCGATCCTTCCTAGAGGTGTTGATAGGTGCCGGTGCTTCGGAGTCTTGGATCCTAGTGGAAGATCTCGGTGGGCGCAGCGATCGCGAGGCTTCTCCGTTTTTGTTGATCCGCCGTTGTCGGCACTTGTTTCTTTTGCTCTTTGTCATTTCTTTTGGGCGTGACTGTGCTGCTTCTGCCCCGGCACCTATCCTTGTATGGTTCGGCTGGTTGCTTTGTATACAAAGCGGGGGGAATGTTGGGGAACGTAGCAGAAATTTAAAATTTTCCTACGAGTCACCAAGATCCCTCTATGGAGAAAAACTAGCAACGAGGGGAAGGAGAGTGCATCTACGTACCCTTGTAGATCGCTAAGCGGAAGCGTTCAAGAGAACGAGGTTGAAGGAGTCGTACTCGTCGTGATCCAAATCACCGGAGATCCTAGTGCCGAACGGACGACACCTCCGCGTTCAACACACGTACAGCCCGGTGACGTCTCCCATGCCTTGATCCAGCAAGGAGAGAGGGAGAGGTTGAGGAAGACTCCATCCAGCAGTAGCACAACGGCGTGGTGGTGATGGAGGAGCGTGGCAATCCTGCAGGGCTTCGCCAAGCACCGCGGGAGAGGAGGAGGGAGAGAGGTAGGGCTGCGCCAGGGAGAGGTGAAACTCATGTGTTGGCAGCCCCAAAGTCCTCAAGTATATATAGGGGAGAGGGAAGGGGGTGCGCCCCCTCTAGGGTTTCCTCCCTAGGGGTGGCGGCAGCCCAAAACCCATCCAGGGTGCGGCCAAAGGGGGGAAGAGGGGAAACTTGCCCCCCAAGTTAGGTGGGTGCGCTCCCTCCCCAAACCCTAGGCGCCTTGGGCCCTTGTGGGGGGGCGCACCAGCCCACCTGGGGCTGGTCCCCTCCCACACTTGGCCCATGCAGCCCTCCGGGGCCGGTGGCCCCACTTGGTGGACCCCCGGGACCCTCCCGGTGGTCCCGGTACGTTACCAATAAAACCCGAAACTTTTTCGGTGACCAAAACAGGACTTCCCATATATAAATCTTTACCTCCGAAACTCCTCCTGATGTCCGGGATCTCATCCGGGACTCCGAACAACATTCGGTAACCACATATAAACTTCCTTTATAACCCTAGCGTCATCGAACCTTAAGTGTGTAGACCCTACGGGTTCGGGAACCATGCAGACATGACCGAGACGTTCTCCGGTCAATAACCAACAGCGGGATCTGGATACCCATGTTGGCTCCCACATGTTCCACGATGATCTCATCGGATGAACCACGATGTCGAGGATTCGATCAATCCCGTATACAATTCCCTTTGTCTAGCGGTATTGTACTTGCCCGAGATTCGATCGTCGGTATCCCGATACCTTGTTCAATCTCGTTACCGGCAAGTCTCTTTACTTGTTCCGTAACACATCATCCCGTGATCAACCCCTTGGTCACATTGTGCACATTATGATGATGTCCTACCAAGTGGGCCCAGAGATACCTCTCCGTCACACGGAGTGACAAATCCCAGTCCCGGTTCGTGCCAACCCAACAGACACTTTCGGAGATACCTGTAGTGCACCTTTATAGCCACCCAGTTACGTTGTGACGTTTGGTACACCCAAAGCATTCCTACGGTATGAGAGAGTTGCACAATCTCATGGTCTAAGGAAATGATACTTGACATTAAAAAAACTTTAGCATGTGAACTACACGATCTTTGTGCTA